GCCGCGATTAAAATAATCGCAGCTTCATTTAAATTTAAATGGCTGCCCCGATCTGCCGATCAGCTGTTTGTCGGCAGATCGGGGGAGTCTGGACGCGATGCCCCGACAAAGAAGCCTTTCTTCATCGACACAGGTAAGCCTCGTGAAACCAGGTTTACCTGTGTCGATGAAGAAAGGCTTCTTTGTCGGGGCATCGCGTCCAGACTCCCCCGATCTGCCGACAAACAGCTGATCGGCAGATCGGGGCAGCCATTTAAATTTAAATGAAGCCGCGATTATTTTAATCGCGGCTTCATTTCCCTCTTCCAATCTGGCTAATCTACATGCCTCCGTCGAAGGAGGCATGTAGTCTAGACACACCCAGAGACAGCACGCAGTGGGGGATGAAGTGTGGTATCAGATATAAGTTGTACCTCCCTTAACCGGGATTTCCTGGCACAGACCACAGATGTTCCTGGACCACAAAGCCCAGAACAGGGAAGTCTGGCAGCAGGGCATGAGCATCACAGGGGGCATCGGCAACTCAGCTGAGAGCCCAGCGTATATGTGTGGGGCGGGGAGGAATGAACAAGCACCATGGCAGAGAGCTCCAGCCCCAATGGCAGCTGTGGAGCTCCGCTCCAGTCCTGTTCTGGCTTCAGCCCCCACCTCAGCAGCAGCCAGGGAGCTCTGGCCCTGGGCACAGAGCTCCAGCTTCGGCCCTCTGGCCAAAGCCAGGCAAGTGTGGAGATCTTCCCTGGCTGCACAGCTCCGGCTACGGTGCTCCAGTACCAACAGCAGCAGAACCAGCAGCATCTAGCAAGCCCCAGGGGGTTGGGGCAGCAGCATGGGAAGGCTGGAGACCTAACCCAGAGGCAGCACGCCAGGAGAGGAGGGACCTCCCCTGGTCTGGCAAATCCCTTTGTTCAGGACCAGTCATGTCCCGAGAGTGCCAGACCAGCAAGGTCCTACCTGTACCTCCACGCTCCAAACATAGCAATAGAAAGAGGGCTAGAGGCATGTCAGTCACTAGATACTCAGATGCCCTACTTCCCCTCAGGTACTTACAGCCCACCTCTCTCCTTCCTTTCTCCAAAAACAGGTAGAGAGCCTGATCTGTCTCCCTCAACTATCTGTGATGGAGGCCTGGGGCCCAGCAAACATCCCCATATTCCCAGAAACCCACAGATGTGAAAAAGAACAGAGGCCTGCTATATCATTTCTGGAAATAAGTAATCTGAACTTTTAGTTCCCTATGCTGCAGGCAAGGTCTGCACTGACCTTCATCCTTCCTGCCAGACAGTCCTTTCATCCACCACAGAGAAGGAGACTGTATCTGCCCCAAGTCTCACAAACTAAATAGAATATTAAGATTTCCCCTTTCCAAAAAGGAGAGGAAGACAGACCATACATAGCCACTCTTCTTTCTTATCCCTTCTATTGGGAGAACCAAAACCTATTGATGCTAAAGCTCATTTTTTAACCTTCTTCAGCTTAGCTCTATTCTTTTCCATCCACATCTTACTACAGATCAATAATCCAACATGAATGGTAATCCATTAGTTTTACAACCCTAACAAAAGAGGTCTCATCCTGTTGAATGTTTGAAGATAAATGGTAATGCTTACCCACACTTGCATGGTCAACTATGTTGTCCACATCCTGCAAGCCCCACTTCTTATAGGCTAATGGTGGGGGTTGTATGTTCTCATTGCCTGATGCTGTGGCTGTGAATTTATTATAAAAATTGAGACAAGTAAAAAACTATTACATCATTAGATTACTTATATGTAAATGTGTCATCATCTCATGCTATCATGTTTTATATGATCAGTTATAACACAGTGAACACTGAAGAAAAATCATTTAATATTGCAATTAATAAGTTGTTACATACAATAACTTTACCTTCAGGTTTTCATAAAAGTCCAGTCAGATTTTTTCTATAAATTAAAGGACATGCTGTGCAAAGCTAGAATATCAACATTTTATTAGGGATGTTTGATAGCATGTAATTGAATAGTCATGTAACCACATCAGATTTTAGTGGTTACACGACTATTCAATTATTCCCAAAGGCAAGGCCAGTAAGTGCACTCCAGCCTTAACCCCGGGGAGCCCCTTGCCACCTCGTGCTGCTGACTCTCTATCAGATCTGCGAGGGGAGCCAGTTTAAAAACCAGCTCCCTGTACAGACTAGCTCCCTGGTGCTGCCTGCATGGGGTGGCAGCAGTCCCTCCATGGGGAGCCTAGGCACTCTGCAGACAGAGGCTGGTCCCACAGGGACTGCTGCCTCCCACCGCACACTGCCGCAGGGGAGGCAGGCGGCTCTGTGGAACCGGTGCTAAAATGGCTTTAAGCTGGCTCCCCCTCCAGCACCAGCTCCTCACAAATATCAGCTCCCACCTACCTCCCTCCATCTCCACATTACTGCCTCTCTATTTGAGGCAGCAGCGCAGTATTCAGGGGGAGGGAGAAGGCTTAAAAGCCAGCTCCCCATGGGCACCAGCTCCATCTTATCCCCCGATGCCGCCTCAGTTACATTCTCCCCCGGTGAGGGGAGGGTGGTGAATGCATGTAGTCGACAGGATTAACCAATAAGCCTAGGCTTATCGGTTAATCACGTAGTCTTCTATATGTTGACATCCCTACATTTTACCCATTTTACTGAAATTAAGACACTTTATAAAACGTAGCTAGGCAAAATTTTGTTCACAACATCCAGCTATATTTGTAAAGTGCAAAATAAATTCATGGAGCAAATTTGTCTAATTAGTTATTAATTATTTTATTAAACAGTTTCTGTACCAGTTCCAGAACAATACTGACTCCTTTCCTTATAGAGAGTGTTATTATGGGAGACAGTCCTGTGCCAAACATAAGTAAGCAGGTCCCACAAAGATCCACATTCACAGAATGTGACAATATGCTTTAGTCATACTTCAGTTCCTAGCAATGCTCTCATCTCAACCTCTTTGCAAATTTAAGACAACACATATACAAGGGATTAGCATGCGAAAGATACCGGTGTGCTTTTATTGCAAGCATTAAAGCACGCTCAGTGATGATTTTTCAGACTGTAATGGAAAGGCCTTGCTTTGGTGATAAGAAGCAGCTAAAGATAGCATTAGAGCCTATGCTTTGGCCTGTTGGACAATATAAAAAGGAGTACTAGTCCTCAGTTTAGTTCTACACAAAGATCTTAAGGTGCATCTGTGGAGCCATTAAAGCAACTGCCTGAATTGGCACCTGATTTTGTTCATTGACTCTTGGTTCTTACCTGAGGGGATGGGAGCCTTCAGTCTTCCTTGTCCTGCATGGAAATGCTTTCCTCTGCTAGACCTCAGATGAACCCCTTCCCCCCCAGCTCAGTGCTGGCCTTAAGCTCATAACAGAGCTGTTGTACCCACAATCCCTGATGCTCTCATGCTGATATCTGCATTATGGATCCTCTCTATTCCTGGCCTAGCCAAGTGCCCATTCCCTGTCACTGGTTCCTGGTACTAAACAGAGATTGAGAACTGGCAACAGAGAGTTGGAGCACAGTAAGAAGCAAAATCAGGACTCTGAGCAAGCTTTTGATTAAGCCCATTCCCAAGCAGTGAGAAACCCTCCTCCACCTGCACATCATTACTTGATGGTTCTTCCTTAACCCCAGGAAACTGAGCACTTCCCAAGGTGCAGCACACATGGATTAGCCAGCATCCCCTGGGCAGGTTGTCAAAAAGATAGAATCATAGAACCATAGAGCTAGAAGAGACCTCAGAAGGTCATCAAGTCCAGCCCAGTGCTCTAGGCAGGACCAATCCCAACTATATCAACCCAGCCAGGGCTTTTTCAAGCTGGGACTTAAACACCTCTAGGGATGGAGACTCCACTACTTCCCTAGCTAACCCATTCCAGTGCTTCACTACTCTCCTAGTGAAATAGTTTTTCCTAATATCCAACCTGGATCTCTCCCACCACAACTTGAGACCACTGCACCTTGTTCTGAGCTCTGTCACTACTAAGAACAGCCTTTCTCTGTCCACTTTGGAACCTCCCTTCAGGAAGTTGAAGGCTGCTATCAAATCCTCCCCTCACTCTTTGCTTCTGAAGACTAAACAGACCCAACTCCCTCAGCCTCTCCTCATAGGTCAAGGGCTCCAGCCCCCTAATCATTTTGGTTGCCCTCCGCTGGACCCTCTCCAATGCGTCCACATCCTTTTTGTAGTGGGGGGCCCAGAACTAGACACAATACTCCAGATGTGGCCTCACCAGAGCCGAATAAAGGGGAATAATCACATCTCTGAATCTGCTGGCAATGCTCCTCTTAATGCAACCTAATATGCCATTAGCCTTCTTGGCTACAAGGGCACACTGTTGACTCATATCCAGCTTCTCATCCACTGTAAACCCCAGGTACTTGTCTGCAGAACTACTACTTAGCTGGTTTGTGCCAAGCCTGTAACAATGCTTGGGATTCTTCTGTCCCAAGTGCAGGACTCTTAGAAAGGAGTAAGCATTTTTCCATCTCAGGAAGATCTAAAAAAGTCTTCAGGATTTTTCTTATCTTAAAGTGTAAGGATATCAACCATTATAAACATGAAGAGTATCTGCCCACAGCAGAATCACTGTTATGACAGCAGCACTTGTCAAAACATTTCCCAAAAGGAAAACACTCAACTAACACCAAAAATCACTAAATGATCATTGTGTTGACTCCTGCAGACACTGGTAGTCAGATGCACCTTCAATGGCTGTGTCCTAGCAAGTCAAATCTTCTCTGTCAATACAGGCAGTCCCCGGGTTACGTACAAGATAGAGACTGTAGGTTTGTTCTTAAGTTGAATTTGTATGTAAGTTGGAACTGGCGTCCAGATTCAGCCACTGTTGAAACTCAACAGTGGCTGACTACAGGAAGCCCGAGGCAGAGTTTCTCTGCCCCAGGCTTCCTGGAATCAGCCGCTGATCAGTTTCAACAGCAGCTGAATCCGGACGCCTGGGACAGAGCAGCCGG